TAGCTTCTTAAGTTAGATGTTCAGCATTCCTTGGTTTAAAATGCATTTATTTATATCTACAAATTTCCCTCTCAGACCTGCTTTAGTTCCATCTTTCAAGTTAAAGATGTGTTTTCCATTATCATTTAGTTCTAATTTTTCTAAACTCTTCTTTTGATTATCTTGTTTAACTCATAGGCTATAGAAATTCATAGCTTAACTTCCAATCTGTTATTACTTTCCTTTTCAGTTTGCTAATGATTTCTGGCTTAATTCATGGTAATCAAAGAGCATACCCCATGACTTAAACCCTGTGACATTTTTTGAGACTTGATTTATGACTCAGAATGTGGTCTATTTTAGTAAAGTTTTGTTTTCACTTGAAAACAGTGTAAATTCTGCAGTTATTGGTTTGTATGTTAAAGGTGTCATTCACATCATTTATCAATCATGTTATTTAAATATTCTTAATCTTTACTATTTATTTTAAGTACTTGTCCTGTCAGTTACTGAGAGATATGCAGTAAAATATCCAGCTATATTTGTGAGCTTGTCTATTTCTCCTTTCATTTCTTTCACTGTTGGCTTTATATATTTTAAGGCTATGTTATTAGGGGCATACCTATTTAATGTTATATATTCGTGTGAAATTGTCCATGGTTAGTAATGCCTTTTGCCTTAAAAATCTACTTTTATATTAATGTGGTTATATTAGCTTTTTTTGTTTGATATTTGCAAAGTGTATTGTTTTCTGTGCTTTTATCTGAACTTCCTGTTTTGTATTTAATGTGAGTGTTTTAAAGCTCCATTTAATTGAGATCTGCTCTTTATTTCTGGTCTGACTTTTTATTTTTACGAGCAGTATTTTTACACTCACAGTTAGACTACTGACTGACAGCTTACAGTTCCAGTCCACCTTCTGTGTCTTTGCTCTGTTATTTCAGCTGTGCCTTGTTTCTCTTGTATCACTTCATGCTTCTTTTTAAGTTATCAAGTATTTTTATTATCCCAATTTCTCCTTTTTAGATTGCCAGTTATATATTCTAGTGTTCTTCTAGTTTTCACACCACATTTACAACATGCATCCTTGTCTCATAGGCAGAAACCTCCAATGACTATTTTTACTGCTTCCCAGTCAATTCAAGACTTTACAGCATTTATATCTGCTCACCCTCATGCCTTTTGTGTCATTATTCTGCGTTCTAATTCTGCATGTATTTTAAGTTCCACAAGGCATGGTTACTACTGCTGCTGTTTCCAAAGTCGGTGTTTGCTTAGAGTCATCGTCTATTGTCTTCCTTGCTCTTTGTTCTTCCTGTGTTTTCATGTTTCCACCTGGGACCATCTTCCTCCTGCCTGAAGACCTCCCGTTAGGGTTTCCTTCAGCACAGGCCTCCTGGCAATGAATTCTCACAGGGTTTGATTGCCTGAAATCATCTTAATTTTGCCTTCATTTCTGAGGATATTTTTGAGAGTACTGAATTCTTGGTAGGCAGTTACTTTCTTTCATCACATTAAAGATGTACATCATCAATTCTTTTGAAAAAGCCTCACCATTACTCCACTGAAGGATGTGTCTTTCTCTGGGTGCTTTGACGATTTCTGTCTTTGTCTTTTGTTTTCAGCATTTACACTATCACGGGACTTGTGTAGTCTTCTTTGTAATTCTCCTTCTTGGGGTTAGTGGAATTTCTTTAGTCTCTTATTATATTTTATCAGTTTCAAAAATTATTGGCTAGAATCTCTTCAAATATTGTTTCTACCTTATTCTCTCTCCTCTCCTTCTGAAACTCCATTTTCACACGTTTAATGTTTTCACCATTTCCCTTATATTTCCTATTGTTTCTTTATATTTTCGATTATTTTGTTTCTCTCTACTTTAATCTAGACATAGTCTACTGATCTATTTTCCAGTTCCTAATACTCTGATTTATTGTGTCTAATGTTACACCAGTAATTTATTCTTAGTTTCAAGGTTCTTTTTTAAGTTTTCAGTTTGTCATTTGATTTTTATAATCAATTCCATTCTATAATAAAATTCATTTCTTTATCAATTTTCTTGAATATATTAATCAGGGTAATTTTATAGTCTATGTCTTAAAATGCCAGTAACTGGCTCTCTTTTTGTCCTTTGTTTCATTTTTGCTTTTCCTTTTTAACTGCATTTGATCATTTGGTCCTGTTTCTGGCATACCTAGCAATTTATTATTGAAATCACAAATAATTAAGTTATAAAGGCTTCTGATTACATCTGACTACAGAGAGGATTTAATTTTTCTAGCAAGATGGGCAGACCAGCCTGAGACAGTCAGGGACTGAGCTGATTTGAGGCTGTATTCCAGGCTCTGTGAAGGCCAGTTTACTTCTGGTTTGTCATTATTCCTAAGTCACAGCACTTCAGGGTTTTGAATGAAAACCTGGGGATTCTTCTGCTCAAGCAGCACATGAACACCTTGGAAATAAAAGAAGGAAAGCCTCAGTAGGTGACTGCCTGCTGAAATTTGGACTTTCTGTGTTTCCCTTTTCTCCAGAATGATTGCTGCTTGCATCTGTTACTTGAAATCCCTTAACTTCCTCTGTGGCCCATTCTGTCCAGTGACATTGTCATAAGCTCTCAGCCTCTGCTTTCTAAGTGGTCGTTGTGCCCTGAGACATGAGTTAACCACCAGCAGAGGTGACAAGGGGTGGGTGTCCACAGGGCCTCCATGCCTCCCTCCTCTCCAGGGGCCTGTCCTTCGAGTCCCAGCTGCTTTGGCTACTCTCCAGAGTTTAAAATCGTGTTGACCCCTTGGTGGGAGGGTAGTCAGATAAGCTCCCCTTTAGTAGCCACAAGTGGAAGACCACTTTAGTATACATTTTTTAACATTCTTCAAAATTTTTAAACTTTCCTTAACCTTACTTAACCAGAGTTAATGTTTAATGATCTTGGAAGTGCATTTGTGTGGGGCAGTTTGTTTCTTAATGACTCCAAACAATTAAAAGTCAGAGTTAAATCAAATATCCAATTAAGTCTTCTGCAAAGTAGAATTTAAGTGTTGTAAAAGAATTATAAACAAAATGTTCTGGGAATTTTTTAGAGAAGCAAAATATCGCATAAAGTTAAGTTCAAAGACAGGTCATTTGCTGTGGGCCTTGCAGGAAGTTTGCTGTAAAGACAACGTGGTCTTCACATCTGTGAAGTGGGTGCAGGCCCCTGCAGTCTCGAGACATCTTTGCTTCATACTTTTATCCTGAAATCTTGCTTCTAAAGAGATAAGTCAGAAATAAGGAAAAAGACTTATGTAAGAAAAAAATTTACCATAATGCAAAACTAAGAACATCTTAAATATACAATAAGGAACGGTTAGATAAATAACTTCCATAAAAAAGAAGCCTTAAGACTAAAGCCACAGAGGCAATCACTAAAGTGTGCACAAAACAGTGATCATCTATCTCCTCCCCTTCCCCTCCGACCCTCACCCCTCCCCCACATCCCTCCCTGTCCCCAACGTCCTCTCCCTCCCCCTCCCCCGGCGCTCCTCCCCCACCCACCCCACCCCCGCAGGAAGCTGCGCTGCACCCAGAACTACATCCACCTGAACCTGTTCCTCTCCTTCATCCTGCGAGCTCTCTCCGTGTTGGTCAAGGACGACATCCTGTACTCCAACTCCGGCACGCTGCACTGCCCCGACCAGCCGTCCTCCTGGGTAGGCTGTCCCCGGGCAGGGTCCTCTCCCTGAAGGTGGGTGGGGATACTCACTGGGATGAAGTCCCGGCGCCGGTGCCCGGGTCCGAGGTCCCAGTCGGTGCGGAAGGAGAGGAAACTGGCCGGAGGCCGGAGCAGGCCCAGGACTGGCAGGACCCGAGCACCGCCAGCGGCTGCAGGGCGGGCGCGAGGCAGGCCCCCGGCAGAGCCAGGCTCCTGCGACGGCCCCCCCGGCGGGATGCAGGGCCACTCCGGGGTGGGAGGTCCTGGCACAGGTGGACACACGTCCTCTCGCCCTCCCGCTCCCCCGTGTTTTCTCCGCAAATGTCCGAGACCTGAGCAGTGGGTGCTTCCCCGATGGCTGGGAGGAAGCCTCCCGTGCGGGACAGTGCCCGCGGCGCCCAGCTAGCGACGCGGGGATGAGCATCTGAACCAGCAGTTTCCACAGGTGCAGGCGAGGTTTGTGGTGGCCGCGCGTGGGTCTCTGGGGCCAGTTCAGCGCGGTGCGGTTATCGAGCTCCTCCGAGATGGAGTCCCCGTGCAGCGTCTTCCCCGCCGTGATCCCGGCTCCGGGGCCGGCGCCTCTCTCACTCGGAGCCAGAAAGCTGGCCCCCTCTCGCATTCCAAACGGTGGGTTCACCCACTGGCACCGCTGCCCTGGACAGAACAGATTTGAAACACTGTGGTTTTAAGATAGTGGAGGCTGCTCCGAGGCCTGCACGTAAATACACATCTGGGGGCAGTCTTGCCAGCCACGCGTGTGGACTGAGCGTAATAATAAAACTGAGGAGATCCTCCACCTGGCAAATCCCGCCCCCGGGTGGAGGTGGGGCTACAGGGCTTTTGTCCCCAGATGGGGTCCCCGGAGTGTAGAGGGGGTCGCCCAGCACCAGGAGCGGGAGACCCAGGTTCCCTCCTGCCAAGAACCTTCCATCACTTCTCCATGCGTCTCAAACCTCTGCTTGAAGGAGCCCTCCCCACTTGGCTCTTTGTTAAAGGACACGGTGTCCCTGATGGATCCACAAACACCAGGCACTTGA